AAACATCAAAGGATACCATGATTCATCGGGTCACAGCTGGTGCTATTGCTAACTTGGCGATGAATGGTATATTTCAAAAGAATGAATATGCCCCAGCTTCTCGTTTAATGTATCAATTGTTTATTTCAGAATACACGTGGTGACATCATAATTTGAAATTTCTCAAATCTTAGAAGTCCCTGGTGTACTGTTTATGGGCATCGCAGGCGGGGATGTATAAGCTTTTCAATGCTGTACAGTCGATGTGTTTGTTCAAATAATAAAAGTACCAACAAAAATAAATAAAAAAAGATACAAAACTTAAAAAAGACAGTCGACTAGCTTTTTTCTCTGTCGGACAGTATATGTTAAATAATATATGCAAATTAACTTACATAATCCAATTTCGGAATGTTATAAATTCCCAAAAGTTATGTTTAACTTAAAGAGATACCAAATAGGAGTTCGTTCGGTCTTAGCTACAACGTGCATCTCAGTGGGCGTGCTCGAAATTTATTATTCCATAACAATTAATAAAAATGAAAGAAAAAGACATCCCAGATCTTAATAAAAACTCTGTAATTGACCACTTGTTTGCCTGTGTATTGGTTCTTGTAGTACTAATGTGATCATTGATCTTTTTATTCCCATAATTCCCAAAGCTTTTGATTGCATCACATTCATATTTTTTTGGTTTTCAGTCAATTAAACTCCACATAGTCCCCCCTACTCTTCTGTAAAGCAGACATTGCACTTTATCTTACAACCAGTCCAATCAGTGTAATTTTGTTCAACATCTGACTTCTAATGCATACTGTGTTTACTGGCTGACCTTACAAACCTGAATTTGCCAATTGATGGCTGAGATAAGGATAAAGTTTGTTCTTTTTCTTGTTTGCTGCATTCTTCTAGATGATCACTAATATCTTTTGTGTTCCGCATTTTTGTGATAGCGCTGTAGTTATTGGGAATATTGCTGATTCTTATTTCAAAACTGTCCTTTTTTATTTATTCACCTTTGTTAAATTATAAACACACCAGTTTCGCTGCAGATGAATAATTATTCAAGTAATCACAGTTAGGACATGCTCTCTGCACTTTCATTTTCATAAAATTCTCTATTTTCTTTGAGGTGAAGTAAACGAAAGGTTCACTTAATAGTCATTAGAATCCTATCTGAAGTCTTTCAGTTGCAATCCATTTGGTCTGTTCATTTGTGTAAATGCTTGTTCCTTGTGCTTGTTAAAAGCAGCCCTCTAGGTTGAATACTATGGCACCATCAATCTGTCACATTTAACTATGCAACATCAACTAGAACTGTAATACTTTATTTTAATGTGTCACATACGAGGATTTTTTAAGTATGGAGTACAAATAATAAACAATGTGGTACTTTGTGATGGACAGCGTCATAGTTTTTTGCCTGAACATAAATTCCAAGGTAAAAATGCAAAAAAGAAAACCATTTCAAAGTGTTTTGTCAATGAAAAAACATCATACTATACCAAAATGGATTTCATCAAAATAAAGTGAATTATGAGTATCTTTGTGCCAAAACTAACAAAGCTTTGAAAATATTTATTACTTTTGGCTATAGGCCCATAGGAAGATACTAGTCTCATTTGTCAAAGTTGAGATGATTTTATTGTGTTATGGAGATGGTGGGCTGCCATAGTGTCAGCACCTGGTGAAAAGTAGTAAAATGACTTGAGTTGAAGAAGATAGTTTCAGGATAATTAATGTACCATTTCTGACAACATGATGCAAAAACTGTTGCTCCACCATGTTGGCTAGTGCCTCTAATGCAACCAGATGTAGAAGGGCAAGCGGTTATCTATCAAGCTGGCAACAATGAGATCTTCTGCATCCTATGTTGTATGGAAAGCGGTACGGATATGGGTATGGGTAAATTTGTAAAAGGTAGGGTGGGGGAGGTATGCCTATATAAATATTTATACACATATACATTGAAATTAATAATTTACATGAGATCAATATTGCTTTTTGTTCACGTGTTATGAGAATTAAAATTCCTATAATATTTTATGTTTCTTTATTATGTTGATTATTAATTGGAAAATTGCTTGTTTTTGAACTAGGCACCCAAATGACCATTTAAAATCATGGTTCAGAACCTGACCTATGTCCAATGAGTTTCAAGAAGTGGATGTGAGGTGTAGGATATTAGTCCAAGATGTTCATGACAAGTGTTTTAAATTAAAACATGTATTGTATAATTGAGTACATGATCAAAATAAATGTATGCTTATATGCAAGGAGTGCCCAAGGAGTTTGGGTACGGGTGCGGGTACGTGTTGGCTATGGGTATGGCTTTAGATGGAAGTACCCTGGTAACATAGTCTGTGTCATTTTAGTAGGAAAACATGTGACTCTATTAAGGGATATTGTGTTTAATATATGCTATATTATTTCAGCCAGTATATGTGCTTCATTCATCAGTTCAGAGTCTATACAACAATCATATTCAAGCCCATAGTTGCATGGAACCCGGTTCATTTCGGTTCACGGGATTGGTATGGGAGCGTGGTACGCCACTCATTAGTAATTGGGTACGAGGGGGTAGGCTTATATGTTATGCTAGGGAACGGTGTACGTTTTAGGTTCGATTCTTAAATGCTAGTTGATACCAGTTATGGTAAAAGAACCTAAGAATCTTGTTGCAATTAAGATATGCGTACTTTATTTGCTTAATTTCTCACGTTGTTTTGTTGTTTATTCTTTTAAAAAGAGTTATTTTTTTCAAAATTTCAACTGGTTTGAACTCTATAACGGATCACTGGAGTTGGTGAATCGGGTCGTATTCCACGTGAATCTGGGATGATTGAACCCGGGTCTCGGTTCGCTATAGTGAACCACGTTCCTGACTTCTATGTTCAGGCCCACTATCTTGGTTGTGTTCAATAGACAAATTTAAATTATTTTTTCGTATGCCGTTCAAGTTTGCATTGGTGTTACTACATATGAATCACCTACCTTTTGTCCCCAGTTGGAATTTGACCTGCTTATCCCTCCACAGCAGTCATTTTAACATTTAACATTTTATTGAATTAATACAGTTTATCTTATGGAATGTTTATGTTATTATAGGGCTGAATCAGGGCTTGATAATGAGCAAAGGAGGTGCTCGTTTATTAGCAAATATAGCATCACAAACAGATGATCCTCAAACTCTTAGGATGGTAGCTGGAGCAATCGCAAATTTGTGTGGAAATGGTATGATAGCATGTGACTTTGTTCTCTATCTTTCTATTTGTATTTTTTTCCTTGGTAAACTGGTTTCTAGATATCAAATCCTATCCATTATATAGTACTAAATCTGATTGTGGTGAGAAATTGTCGAGGTTGTGTATGTGGGCATCTGTGTATGTACTATATACAACTGCTATTATTTGATTTTAGAGATTGCTGGGTTTGTCAAATGCTAATGCGATGTCCTCTTTCTAGTGGTCGAAATGGTATTGGAATCTTTTGCAAAAGAGTAGGCAATTCAACTAAAACAGGAAACAAGAAATTTAGTGAATAGAGGGAGATGTGTTCTCATGTCTCTATCTGTGGGTGATCATTGCCATTGATTCACGAGAGCGGGAGGCAGAGCATTGATGGTAACAGTCACCCTATATACCCACATCCTCGTCAAACCCACCAATAGGCATGCATGCATGTGCAAATGTCCTGTGTGCCTAGACTATTAAAGATTATGTCAAAATTTATTTAAACATTAAAATCTTTTTTGAATAGAGTTTGATGTATATTTTTTTCATGGCAGTAAGAACCATAGTGAGTGAGCAAATAGTTTATTTATGATCTTCTTGAGCGATATTATAGTATTTTCTCCTTTCCAGACCAGGTTAAGAAAAGGCAAGGATCTGAATGCTTTAGGAACCAGCAAGTTTTTAACCACCAGAAACACTTGAAGCTGTGGATGTTTTCTTTCGTTAATCAATATGACTATAACTGGCATAGACTTGGTCACATTTCAGTTTGGGAAGATAATAAAAATGCAAATTGTGAATAATTGGGATACCTGGGACATGTCATCAGTTTGCAAGCTTTTGAAGTTATTCTGCTTCCTCTTTAAAATTCCTGTAGTAAGTTTGTTTTCCTTTTATGATATTTGACTTGTTGGTTTGTGTCCTTTAAACCCGTATTTGATTAGGTCATATATTACTTCTGTTTTAAATTTTCCTTCTCAGAAAGCTGTTTAATATTCATGGTGGATAATAGTTACAATATTTGTGCATTATGGAGTTTACAAACTCATCTTGGCATGTGGTGCATGTACTTAGAGCACTGAGAAACTCATCTACCAAGAGTTACTTGTCAGTTTGCTATGCATTCTGTTTACTGTTTCTGTTAAAAATGCATTTTTATTTTACAGAAAGCTTACATGTGATGCTGAAAGAGGATGGTGGAATCAAAGCACTTTTGACAATGGTCAAATCTGGCCACAGTGAAGTCATTGCACAGATTGCGAGAGGAATAGCAAACTTTGCAAAATGTGAATCTCGTGCAATCCGTGAAGGTTATTTTATTATGCTTCCATCTTGATTATCCGGAGGATATCTTTCTTTCCAGAGCAAACTCATGCTTTCATTTTGTGGTTAAAATCTAGTTGATGGCTTATTTTATTAAAAGGGTACCATTGTGGAAATAACATCTTGAAATCATGAAAGAGGTTAGGGTTTGAATGTTCGCCATGCTTGAAGAAAATTTTGCCAACAATTATTTTATTAATTGAACTATTTATATGTTGTAGGTAGACTAATGATGAAGAAATCGTACAAGCACCTGCTCTAAGAACATGAGTTGAGAGTGACTTTTAATTGAAAAAGAGAAGTTAGAAGACTTGTGGCCTTTACTAGTTCATTTGCACAATATCTAAGTTGAGAAACCTGTAAAATGCTTTACATTGAGTTCCATTAGAAAGAATTACAGCATGTTCTAAAACGAAGCTTTTGTTGTTCAATAGTTTATGACACTGACACGTGCTAGAGTATCTCATATCCATGTATGACATGTGCAAGGTACTTAGTGGATACTTGTCCCATGCATCCGACTGTTTTGTTGGACCTTGAACCAAATGAAGATGGTAGAGTTTGAATATGATTTTTAATTTTCATAGTTTTATATGATTGGAGATTTAGGGTTTATATCCAATTAAAATTTTTATCATTCGTTGTTATGAAATTTGAGATTATATTATACCTTATTTGAATCTTTTATGTAGGATTACACACTCACTCACTCACTCACTCACTCACTCACACATACATATACATATATATGCGTGCGTGCATGCGCGTTACTTTATTGTTACCAATTGTGTATTCATAGTTATATATATTTTTGATTTTTTAAAAAGACAGTTTACACTCTGCTATTTGTGCTTGCGCAACATCGATTCAATGCAAACACAAAAAATGAGAAGGTATACTGCTCCTTCAACGAGCACAAGAAACTATTTTTAAAGCATTATGCATTTAAGGTCGCATTCTTATATCCGAAGCAGATGGATTCTGATATTTAAATAGTCTTTTTCCTGACTAGGAAAAATGGAGCCTCCATGGCTGCTAGTATCATGACAAAGTAGAATATCTAAAATGGGAAAATTTTACCTGTGCTATATCTTATCATGGCTTTGTTAGATTGGTGACTAATTATGAATTTTGGCTTATTCCTTTGAAGAATTTTTTGGGTTCAAAATAACCCATAACACCGAGCCATAGTATTAGCATTCATTGAGATTTATGTAGATATAGTCCTTTTGGTAGCATTATTCAATCGACACTGGTAAGAATTTCCCTTGAAGTGTTTGATATATTAGAATTGTGGCATCAGAGGTATCATATTCTTTTTTAAGAGTTCTATGGAGATTGTATGTGTCTTAGTGTATGAGTAATGCTACATAGACATGGGTACATTTAGATTATCATATGAGGATAGGCAAGATTCTAAAATATACTTGATGATAAACTGTGTGTATGAATAAACTATCAAAAAATGGATATGAGGTTACAGCTCATTTTATTAAATAAGATATCAAGGAACTAGACTCATGTTAATGTCCATCTTGCTAGTCACATTTGAGAAAGTGGATCTCGCTACTCCTATCGCTTGATAGCTTATTTTGCTAAATGAGTTGCAACTACAATGTTCTCATATATATAAATTTGGATAGTGCATATACAATCTCAAGTTTCAAGTAAGAAATCATGTGAGTGCAATTTTCTGCAGACTAAATGTCCAATTTTATATAGCATGAAAACTAATCATCATTCTACTCGAATCCAACTATCACCATTAGTTCAAGTCTTGACACGTATCTACCAATTATCTTGTATGTACCAATGCAGAAATGTACTGTACACAAATACAAAAGCCTATAAATGTGCATGCGAAATAAGTCATGAGAAAAGGACAATGGAGCAGGATATGACATATGAGGTGAACAAAAAGCATACAACCCTTAAAAAATTAGAAAGCATTGCCTTATGTTGTGGGGCTACTTTATGCACCGTATATCAGGAAGATATTCACTTGGCTTTTCCTAGTATTGATTTGCTTCCAAATCCTTCATAAAATATCAAATTCCATCTCTGTGTATGTGCACAAATACACAAAGGTTAATAGCCATTAGACTTTGTAAGAGAAATATTTCCTCTTCCAATGACAACTGTCAACCTAGCTTCCATTAGATATGTGATGTTGATCCTCATAGTTTTTGATGCGCCTAGAAAGAAAATTCTGATTGCAACATTCTTTCATCTGGACATGAAGTTTGTTTTCCTTTGTCACTGTAATTTCTTTTGAACACATTGTAGAGTTATTACAACCGGGTAATAACATTAAGAGCTCCATGAATCGGGTCTTCAAAAGGATTGAAGAAGACAAAGGTGGAGTCAACAGTTTGACGACGGGAATTCTAGAATTTTTTTGGGGCTTCTTTCTGACTATTTTGAAGAGAACGCCATATGGGCAGACTCTGTTGCTCGAATCATGAAATTGAGAATGTCTCAAGATTGAATTTATTACACAACCTGAATTGTCTGAAAACTGTCATCAATGAAGTAGAAATTGAGTTTGACTTGTGATTTCTCGCATATTGTATTCTGATAGCTATAAAATCGCACATCTTCTTGTAGTTACAGATCCATCAGATTCTTCCCTCTTGTCATCCATGATTAAGTTGAGGAGTATGTCTTCTTTCAAGATTTGAAGAACTGATGCAGATCCAGTTGTGATTGAAGATCTATTGAAGTGGGAAAAACCTACAAGGAGTTATTTAAGAAGACTATTTTTGGTTAGATATATCAATATTTAGAGTTTGATAAGGATTAGGATTTATGTCATTGTTATTAGTTTTGTCTTTGCTCAGAATAGTCTTGCATTAGAGTTTTTCTTTGACTGCGTTCTCTCATGTTCTCTTGCTAGAATTTATTTTAGGAGGATTTAATTGATTAGAACTCTGTTATCTGGGTTATGACTATTTTCTAAGAAGATTTGGCTATTAAAATTGATTTTTGAGTTGATTCATAAGATGTGTTTGTTGATTTCCTGAGGGTATTCTTTGGTTGTTCTAGATTTCCATTTATTTTTTTCCTTCCTCTTCATATTTTCCCCCCTTCTCTAAGCATCCTGCATTTGGTAGGAAACACAAATTTTCTTTCTTTCTTTTTTTGGGGTCTATAGAGACTGTAGATGATGTAGATAAATTTTAGTGGGGTTGATTTCTTTTAATCTGTCATTGAGTTTGAGCTGGAAGAATTTGCTTTCAAATTCATCATTCAATGTGCATATGCAACTCTAGTAGCATACCGTTTTATTGGAGAACTTGTTGATGGTTATCTGGTATTCTGATGAACAGGACATAGAAATGGAAAGTCTCTTCTTATAGAGGATGGTGCACTCAACTGGATAATTGCCAACTCTACAGCATTTTCCACTTCCACTAGACGGCACATTGAGCTTGCTCTTTGTCATTTGGCTCAAAATGGTACATCTGTTATATTGTTTTTCTTTTGTAACTAGTTTTCCATTTACTCTGTTGAAACTTGAAATGTTAAAAATCCTTCTAAATCTTTCTTTATCCAAAATTTCAAATGAAGATATCAGGTTAGAAAGGTCTATGGAACAGAGATGAACTAGACCATCTACTTGAACCTAAATACCTAATTGACTCAAAACGACTAACCCTGTTTCAGTCATGAGTTTAAGCTTATTTTATATCTATCTAATTGTTTCTTTAATGTGATACTAAATCTATTTTCATGCTTTTTGATATACTAAACCCACACCTAAACTTAATGGATGCAAGCTATGTTACCTAGGTACTTCTAATCTGAAGCCGTACCCGTATCCGACATGTACCCGTACCTATATATGTACCCAAACTCCTTGGACACTCCTTGCATATATGCATACATTTACTCGGGCATGTACTCAATCATACAATAAATGTTTTAATTTATAACACTTATCATACAATTTTTTGGACATATCTTACACTTCACATCCACTGCTCGAAACTCGTTGGACATAAGTTAGGTTCTATGATTTTGAAGGTTTGTTGGTTGTCTAGTTCAAAAACTAGTGTTTTTTCAATTTATAATTCACATAGTAAAAGAAACATAAAATGTTATAGGAATTTTAATTCTTATCCTTGCTCTCATATAAATTATTAATTCCACTATATAATATATGTCCATATAAATATTTATATAGCCGTGTCCCCGTACCCTACCTTTTACAAAATTACCGTGTTTTGTACTCGTACCCGTACCTGTACCCATGTAACATAGGATGCAAGACACTGACTAGTCTCCACCTTGGTTCGAATCCAATTGAATCCAACTTGAGCCCAAAAACATGTGGCTATTAAAGATAGCGTCTCAAGCACTTTTCAGACGAACAGAGTCACAACAGAGGCAATGTGATAGTACGTGCACTCAAGAAAATCCTAGCCTGTATTGAACCAAGTTATACCACGGCCTTATGTCATGTCATGTGCACTCCACCTTGACCTCTAGCCCATGGGCTCTGCTACCGGTTTGGTGGTTTGGAAAGGCTAACTAGAGAGGGACTAGGCTGGTCTACTTAGACCCATTTAACTCAATGATTAACCCCATTGAAGTCATGAGTCCAAGCATAATTTATCCATATATCCATCTAATTGTTTTTCAGATAAGAGACTACATCTTACCTCAAGCGTTTTCCTAGACCAAACTTGCACTTGCACTGAATGAATGTGAGATAGACATGGTCTATAGTAGATCCACCTACGAACTCGAACTGGAGATGGGTCTCGTCTGATCTTGTCCGTGTTAAGCAGTTGGACCTTGACCCGGGATTCAAAATCCTTGCTCCTCCCAGGAAAGGAACACTCCAGAATAAGTTTCCCTTTATATTAAAAAAAAAATCTCATCCCCTATACTGAATAGAATAAATCTTGCCTTGTCCTTATTATTTTCATTAAGTTGTATTTCTTGCATGCTTGTGCTTGTAGAAGATTTAATGCTGTAGAAGCAAATATTATGTTTTGGTTTTTTTTCTGTATTAACAACTTTCAAAATAGGGTCATTCTATAGAAAGCATATTTTTAATTTATACTTAAAGCATCTTTAACAGGTTTTTTAGCAATCATGTAACGCCCCGCCCCGGAATCCCGGAATCCCGGAGTCAGTACGCTATTAGATCTGATGGACTGGCCTCACAAACCACCACATGTCTTTTCAGCACGTTTTGTCCTCACTCACGCGCTCCCTGGAAAACTTCTCGGGGGGTCACCCATCCTAGAATTTCTTTAGACCAAGCACGTTTAACTTTGGAGTTTCTAAGGTTGGGGTATTACAAACTCCCCCACTTAAACTCGCAACATCCTCGTTGCGCCAAATCATATCATCCAAGACTGTACCATCCGTGTGAGATTCTAGAGGTGGCTCCTACGACCTCAAGAAATGGCTCCCGCCCTCTCGACGTAGCACTTTGCGCCGCATAGCACTTAGCTTTCACAATTCCGGTTGGCTTTGCTCTGATACCATTTGTAACGTCCCGCCCCGGAATCCCGGAGTCGGTACGCTATTAGATCTGATGGACTAGCCTCACAAACCACCACATGTCTTTTCAGCACGTTTTGTCCTCACTCACGCGCTCCCTGGAAAACTTCCCAGGGGGTCACCCATCCTAGAATTTCTCCAGGCCAAGCATGCTTAACTTTTGAGTTTCTAAGAGTTGGGTTCCTGAAAAGAAGATGCATCTTGGTGGTATGAGTATTCCAATCAAATCTATCAATACTAATCACATCACCCTCTCAAGGGTTGGGGGATTACAAATCAACTATATGGGCCCATTTTTCAGTTGATTTTTTGTGGTAATTGATCCCACATAACCTCCATTAAGGACTCTCTCTAATATACTTAGTATTTGACAACTAATTATTATAGCAAAATAAAAAAAAATTGATTTAAAAGTAAGTCTTGGTTCATGATGACAAAAAAAAAACCCTTTAAAGGTGCTTTATGTATAAATTGAAATTTAAAAATCAAAGGTGGTTTCTATTGAATGTCCCTATTTTAAAGGTGGTGTCTAGGGAAAAAAGAACCCTATGTTTTTCACATCATTGGGTAACAGTGAATCATGAAGAGGATCCAGGTTAGCTGGTTGGTTTGTTATTAATGATTGGGGATAATGAATGACATGAACTTGGTTGCAAGCAATTATGAAGGAATGAAGGATATGGCAGTGGTGAATTTACATAAGTGATAGCCCTTTATGGAACTGAATGGAGGAATAGGATTCCTGAACTCGACGTAAAAGATTTTGGATAAAGACTTCGTTGTTGTTGTTATTGTTGTTGGTGGTGGATGATTAGTGGCTTGATTGTATTCAGTTTGCACTTCAAAATGGTCATTTTGGGCTTAGGGTTTTAAACCAACTAGCGCAGCATAACTTGTTCCATTTAAAATCTTATAAAACCAGCATTATTAAGGATAGAACAGTTGGTAAGTCTCTTGTCAATTCTGCAGGAGATTGATTTAAACGCCAGTAATCTTTTATCCTTTATGCATAAATAGTATATGACATGCATTATAATGCTGTTTTCCTGAGTACAGTCCATTCGAATCAGATTATTAAATGGCTTACATATATTTATTGTGAAATGAAATCCCATTTTCCCCCTCACTTTCGAACTATATCACTTGTTGGTGGTATGCTCATGTTACAGGTGATAATTTTCATATATTCTTTTGTTTTTTGATATATCTGTAACTTGTTAGTGCATAAAAAGTTGAACACTTGTCTATAGAAACGTTCATTAGCATAAGTTTATTTTGAAAAAGTAAATCATATGGAATGCTTTAATTTCTAATGTTTGACTATTTTTTTAATAGTTAAAATTCTTTACTCGAACTGTGTTCGTTATTTTTTTTCCTCCTGGCTCCTGCTTTGCAGTTTGCTAACTATCACGCACGGTAGTATCACAATCTACAAATTGAAATAATACGGCGTAATTGTTTTCTCATTACTAGAAAATAATACCTTCTATTTGAAACTTTTTAAATACTTAAAATTATATACTCTAGCTGCATTATCTTTTTTTCCGTTCTTATGATTTTTAGTTTGCTATCGCACGTAGATGCAGCCATCCCCACTTTACAAAATGCAATAATACTGTTTAATTCTTTTTCTCGTTACTGCAGATGGTAATACATTTGATATTGTTTCTGCAAAAGGAATCAAGCAATTAGTACGTATATCTCAGGAATCCTCGAAAGAAGATATCCGCAACCTTGCAAAGAAAGCCATAGATTCAAACCCAATATTTTTGGCAGAGATTCGAAGATTATGACATAAGTGCTGTATATAGTCATTGGTTTTCTCAGTTATGGAAAATTATAAAGGCCTTAGGTACCTGTTTAACAACAATGCCCCTTTTGTAATACATAGTGGGGCTACAATAGATGAGCCATTCTGTGTGAAGAAAAGAAACAGAATAAAGAAATGAAATTATAATATTTCTAATTTCAGCCTAAGCTAAAGCTAAAGCCGAAAGTCTTAGTGTACATTGTTCTTAATAAGTTCTCTGTTATATTTCTAATACTTCTTATTAATAATTATAATCTCAAGTTTTCTTTTCATGTTTCAATTATTGTGCCTGATTTACATTTCCTCGATGAAATAACGCGATGAAATAGACCAACCTCTAACTGAGAAACCAAATCCTATTTCATCTAGGCAGAAAAAATTGGCAGAAACATGACATCGTTCAGTTGAGTTTTTGTGTCCCCGCTCATCTCCTTACCACTTGATAAGGCGAACTTCCTAGTTGACGTTTACCATCACAATAGTGTATTTTCATCTCATGTCCATTATTTTTGTGCCCGATGCATTTGGGATGAAAAACTACTGATAATGGAGTAAAAGTGGGGTAAAAGTAGCATTTTATGGATTGAAACTTAGCAGGTTTGATGCACGCTGGAGCTCCTAAAGAATGCTACAGTGCTTCACAAGCCCCACAAATGGGAACAAGTATGTATCCTAGGGTGAATCCAGTACACTTCGTCTTTGCCTTAAATATTCAGCTGCTCATTCATGGTCATATATATTGTAGACTTGTAGTTTTTGTTTTATACTGATGACCACCATCTCCCAGGATTTTTGTGTTCCCTGTGTCTGGATGTTGATAATTGAAATGTTCTAGTAATCTTTAGTACTTTCTTCATTCAGCTTGCAATTGATATCCGGCTGACTAATTGCATCTATTAAACTTATCTTGGTTTCATACATTTAAATTAAATGTACATCTCAAGTATTGGTTCCACACATCAAGTCTTGTTTTGCGCAGTTGAGAGCTTCCCAGTTTAATTTTTTCCCCCAACATGTCACAAAACAGATTTGATTAAGGCTTCTTGTTAATTAGAAATATGAGCATATATTTCCTAAATATTGGAACTAACTTCAAAATCCATGGAATTAAGCAGAAGTCTCCTGAACAAATATAATTTTCAGTTAGCTTGGTTCTAAACCGTGTCATGTGCAAGATTGCATCGTAGCGAGAATGATTTTGATTTTTGATCTGTATGTTTCCTTTTATTTATTTATGTTTTCATCTCCTATGTTCTATGATCATGAAAACCAAGAGCCAAAGCATAAGCTGAACGTGTTGTAAGCGAGTTTATATTTAATTTAAAGAGCATCTTTCAGACTTATCATTTCTTTTTCAGCTAATACTGCAATTATAGGATCTGAGCCACATATCTGCTAGTTGTCTGTTTATACACCATTTTAATGTCAGGATAAGGTCATATATTTATGTGCTGCAATGAGCTATGATATGAGCTAACCCATGCGTAAAATATCAATTGAGAATTAAGTACTACCCAATAATTACTGTTTAGATCTAAATACCTTATGCATATAAATTTATAAAAACTAAGGCTTCGTTTGGATACCATGGTGTTTTCCTTGTGTTTTTGTAAAAAAACACAATGGTGTTGTGTTTTCTCTTAAAATATTTTCAAAACACTATGTTAAGTATTTTTTGTCAACACTAGTTTGACCCATTGTAACATTAGTATTAAACATATTATTAATATATTATATATTAATTATAATAAAATATATTGTAAATAAAATGTTATAATATTTAGTTTACATTATTATAGTATTATAAGTATTAAATGTAATGCAATATAATATTGTATAATATATTATAATATTATATTGTACTTTAATGAGTTATATTATATTATAATTATTATTATTACTTTAATAATATATTAGTATTTATGATATAAATAAATATTATTATATTATGAATATATTATTTTTACATTAACATTTGTTAGCAATTAATTATTTTATTGTTAAAAATTATTTTACTTTATAATAAATTATATTATTTATTACATAATATATTAATATTTTATATATTATATTGCATTTACTATACAATATGTTATTATAATATTGTTATTATATTGTTATGTTATTATTAAATATGTTACTATTATATAATATTTTTGTTAGTTTATTTATATATTATTATTTATTTATTATATAATACATTATTAACATATTAAATATTGGTATTTAATATGTTATTAGATTATTATATAAGATATTTTATTTATTATTTTTTATATTATTTAATAAATATTATTAATATATTAAATTAGCTATAATATAGTATAGTATAGTATAGTATAATAAGTATGTTGATAATAACTCTATATTAATTACATTTAATATAATAATAATTACATTTAATATATTATGTTAGATATTATATTAACACTAAATATCTCTTTGCTTAACAGACCACCCTGTTAAAAGGTCTGTCTCCATTTTTATAAATACCAAGTTATTTTAGTCTAATGGAAGTCACTAGACATTCGTCCATTTCTTAAACAGGAATCCAAACCAAATATTATTTCCCAAAACCATTTTATTAACTAATGATTGCCACTTGGACAGCCTCCCATTGGTCCCCTTCAGTAAGTTCTGTTATTTTTAGTTATTTTATGAGTCCACAGCCTGCCAATTTCAATGGCCTCTCAAGAGCAGATCTGCCAACCTTGGAAGAGAGAAAAAAATGATTTAGCAGCCATTATAAATTATTATTTTTTCATAGAGTCAATGCAAGTGATGACATGCATATCTTTGTTAGTAGATTTTTTCTCTCTTTTTTATAAGGATAGCCAATTGAAGATAGATACTCTTATTATAGGGTTACTTTCAAGTTTGTTAAATTGAAGATTCCATGACAAAGCTCAGACAATAATAGGCGGATCTCTATCCCATCAAACTCCCTAACTTCTGCATATTATATGCGTATGAGTTTCTTTTTGTTGTTGGAGCAGTGTCTTTTTTTTCTACTGGCATCATCCATCAAGCAACTGCTATAATAGACATCTCTAGGATTACTGGTTATTATATGCATGAATTTGAACAACTACAAATATTTGCATGTCAGTTATCCAAAAACAAAAACAAGAAGAAAAATATTTGCACGTAATAATGTATACCAAAAAACTTGTATCAAAGTGTTCGTTAAAATAAACCTCATGGTTTGTGGTAAGCCAGTTCTCCACGACTTGGATCTACCAATGTAAAATGAAATTCTACACATGGGCAAAAAGTTTAACCTTGTCATCGGTTATTGACAATTTACCATAAATCCGTGACACACCTTTTCTTTAATATGGTTGAATGTAATTTTAATCTTTTGTCAAAAATCGGTTACTATCAAATTTGATGCTCCTCTGGGTCTTTTTCGTTCATGCACAAGCAAGGTAGGTATATCTACAACTAAGAAAACACACGATTAATTGTCACACTGTTGACCTGCATGGCTAAGGGACAATCATTGGATACCATAATATGAAGGCATACAGGCAAATGCGTGTTCTAGTAGGTGCCATGAGAATATAAAAGCCTAATAAATAAATGTTAATTGGTGTTTTTTTTGTCAATAACTAACGAGAAACACCTATATAAGGAAACAAGTACTGCACAATTAACTACTTGGACTAGTATAAAAAAGACAAATTTTCAAAACCAACCTGTTTAGAAACTTAACTGCAAAAATCAACACATTTTCAAATTAATTACCAAATTCGACCCAGTTTCAACCTAACTGGCTGAAACTAGGTCGAATTTGGTGAAAAAAGTTACGAAACTTCACGGGACTTAAAGTCCCGTGAAATTTAAGCCCCTGATAATCAAGATGATTAGGGGGTATATAAGTTCACGGGACTTGAAGTCCCGTGAATAATTTTTTACTTGGCCAAACTTCACGGGACTTCAAGTCCTGTGAAGTTTCAACCTGAATTTCCAGAGAGCATCACTCTCTGGAAAATTTGCTTGCAACTCCACGGGACTTGAAGTCCTGTGGAGTTGGGGCTGAGCCTATATAAGGCCCACACGATTTGTTATCGTGTTTACCCCACTGCAGCTTCTCTCTCTCTTCCTCTTCATTCCCAAACAAACCCTAGACCCCTTTCTTGCTGCTCCCCGCTGCCGCCGCCATCGCCGTTGCCCCTACCGTTGTCGTCTTGGCCAACCCTTTCTTGCTGCTCCCCGCTGCCGCCGCCATCGCCGTTGCCCCTACCGTTGTCGTCTTGGCCAACCATCACCACCGTTGATCGATCCCGCCCCCGTCACCGTCGGAGTTCACCGAAAATTAGCGCATCGATAATTTTTAGGTAAAATCTAAAAAAAATTATCCTAATTTTTTTATATTATCACTATTTCATGCTAATAATTTGTTTAAATTTAGATTTTGAAATAAAATTTGAAATATTTATGAATTTTGTGAAGAAAAATTAAAAAAATTTGTGTATGAAGTTAGGGGAGAAATTATCGAAAATTATAAAAGTTAGTGTATTATAAATGTTTGGCATTTGGTTAAAATTATGGATGTCTAAAATTGATACTAGAGGATTTAATGGTAAATAATGTTTTTTGTGTTTTTCGTGTAATATTGATATTGGATTTTTTTATGCTTCAGAGGTAACGATGAACGGTCAAATCGTAATTCTTTGTTCATATGATGGAAATATTAACTATCTCAAGAACAATATGCCCGTATATGAAGGAGGTGTGACGAAGTCGTTGTTTATCTCAAAATCGTGTACTTTCGATGAATTGGTTAATGACTTACACAAACTTACATTAACCAATGTTGTTTATCTCAAAATCGTGTACTTTCGATGAATTGGTTAATGACTTACACAAACTTACATTAACCAATTCACGTGAGTATCACCTCGATGAATTGGTTAATGACTTACACAAACTTACATTAACCAATTCACGTGAGTATCACCTCAACGTTATTTGTAATTATCCTGTTATGAGGTACAGAACAAGCGGCATTAAAATATCAAACCGGAGTAGACACAGATGACAGTTTATTTCCTTTGGCGTTTGCAGTGGTTGATGTTGAAAACACGAAAAATTAGGCATAGTTTTTTGCATGCATTAGATATCATATGCCTAGTGTGCGAATGCGGTCGTTGACATTCATATC